AACCTGATGTTTCCAGAACTATATATAGTAGAAAATGTCAAAATTTCACCATGTAAAGGGTTTTCCCAGGCCGCCACACATGTTAATAAATTACGGAACTATTGAAGTAACGCCATATCAAGTGAAATGTCTATGCAGCACTCCTGCTCTGTGCTCTTTACACATGGATAGCTGACTCCATCGTGCCTGTGTTCTGGAAGCCAGTTTTCCCTTTCCGCATGACCTCTTCAAGGATAAGCCACATCAGTCCAACAGACAGGCTATTGCACATGCTGAGAAGGAGGAAGGAATAAAAGAGGTGTGAATGTACAGCCATCACTCACAGCAGAGAGCAGGCAATCATGGTGGCCCTGCTGGAGTTCTAACAGATGCTTAAGTAGACACAGGAGAACCACAGTGACACTCAATCAGGCAACTTATAGGAAACTGCTTATAGGCAGCTATGAATAAACTACTTCTTTTGATGAGATGGCTAACATCATGGTACAATGGTGCCTAAATTGAGTTAATAATACCCCTAGGATGGTGACACAATCAGTACTTATTATTCACTAGTAGCTGATCTTGAGGCACTCAAGTTTCTTTTAGGAGTCTATAATGCAAATTGTGACAAAAACAGATTTAGATAATGCAATATTATCATTGCAGGGCGGAATAAAGGAAGCAGACCATGGTGTTTTATGATTTATATGCTTAGTGCACCTCAACACAATCTCCTCACCCATCTGCTCTGAGTCAGTAGGGTTACGAGAATAACCAAGAATCTCCTCCTTGTTAGTCATTCTCCATGACACACACTGAAGACATAATTTTTTCCTTCTCATACATATGAGACAACTGTCTCATAATCATCTGGCTCATTGATTACGAAGGAAGCAGAATGATAAAACAAATGCAAACCCTCATTATCCAATAATTAATGAAGCCAGAGCTATTTAATGAGAACAATTTAAACTGATTACCCAATTTTAAGTAAAAGGACCAAACAATCATACAGAAAAAAATAAATTATTTTAATATCTGTACTGCAAAGTGACTACAGTGAAACTAAATAAAGATTTAAAAAAAATAAAAGCAATGAATTACACTGGACTGTGGAAAGAACTGTTTATGAGCATATGATGGAATCATTCATAATAACAAAACAATTCTAATTGGGAAAAGATGTTCCTTTCTGCCATTGTAAAGTGTATAAAAGCCAAAAATTGAATTAGGGATAAGTCAGCGAGCAGCAGTGTTAAAGCACAGATATAATGCCTGCTGTCTGAACATCTAATAAGAGCCACACGAGCAGAAAACCTTAATGGGTCCATGAATAAAGGGCTTTTTTGCCAGACCACTTTGCAGGGCCGCTGGCGAATCTCCCACTCAGCAGCAGGCCATGGAAATCTACAGCAGCCAGAGATATAAATGATTACACTCTCTCCCTCAGCTTGTCATCCAGAACAAAGAAAGAAAAAAATGAAAAACTGAGAGAATAAAAGAAGGGAGAGAGAGAGAGATTTCAAAATCCAGCCAATCTCGCATTAGCCCATCTGTTTTCCCCCAGTGCTGGAAAGCTAACTCGTTCCATCCCACTTTCTAACTAATAAACGTCATATTAAAAGAGTTGTGGTTTACTTGGACAAGCATAAGAGCTTCCGAAAAAGTTTTTAAATGAATAGAAATGAGGAGAGGAGAAGGTGATAGACTTTTGGACTGATGCATATGGATATAGTTAAGTGTCCCTTGAGAACAGAAGGAATATCTAAAGTTTAAAGCAGACATTTGTAGCATTTAAAGATGCCAAATGCGGGGTTTATATAGAGGCTGCAAAAAGAAATTCAAGGTCTTTTCATGCATTTTGGTTTTGTTTGTTTTGAAGGCCTATTGCCTCTGTAACCATAATGACTAATAACGCTAGTTGTGCTAGTCATGGTGGCTCAGTGGTTAAGGCACTGAGTTACAGCTCTGAAGGTCGTGTGTTCAAATCCCAACACCACTAAACGGCCATGTTTGGGTTCTTATAGGCCCTCAGCATTGTGCTTAGTTGTATCCTGCATCAGCCCAATGAGCAAATGTACTGGATTATGTGTTATTTTACACTATGTAAGATATTACTGTACTCTACTGTAAATATGTTTTACAGTTGTTTACTGTGAGTTTTACAGAATTTACAGCAATTTTTCACAGTGTGTGTTCCCTTTTATGTCTGGTTCCTCTCAAGGGTTCTTCCTCATGTCACCTCACAGAGTTTTTCCTTGCCACTGGATCTGGATCTCTTGAGCCAAATTCCTTGCCATGCAGATTTCTGTAAAGTTGCTTGGTAACTTGGTTGTTAAAAGCACTAAACAAATAAAATATATATTGGTGTATTTTACCAAAGAAGTTCATTGTTCAAACATGTATGTTTTACAACTTTTACTGGCATCATGGATGTGCTTTTTATATTTCTCAACCAGGCTTAAATACACTTGCATTTTCAAGTCATCACAATCAAACCTTCGACCGACCTTGTGTTAAACTTTCAAGTGACATTAGCCATGTTCTAAGCATGCTCAAGGAGAGTTAGAATCTAAATTTGGCTGAGAACCCAGATTTCTGCTATAAAAATAGAAACCATGCAGATGTTTCATGTAGAACAGAGTACAGGCTGGAAGTAGTGTTTCCAGTGGAAATAATACACTATATTCCCACACATAAATAAAGTATCTAATGTAGTACTTCTGTCTAACACATGTGGAAGCACTACAGTGATATCTTTTACGGGGGCATCTTTATTCTCCCATTATATTGCTTGATTGCTTATATTACTAATTCATGACCAATGACAAAAACAATTGCTTTACAAGGCTATTCAGTAACTCATAGATAATTATGTAGGAATTAAGCAGGAATGAATTAGTAATACTATAGTAATACCTAAGTTACTACTACTAATGAATACTGCATAATAACCCAGTAAGTATATATATAATGGTTTGGTAACTCAGTATGAATAAGCAATAAGTATAGAGTCTTATACCTTATACCTCGAGGAGAACTAGCTAACTAGTCATTATTAATTGACTTATCATGTGTTTGACTTTACAGTACTGTCCAAGTTCATCATTAACTCCTGGGGAAGGACACAGTAACACTTCCGTTATTATCTAACATACTCTATACAAATTGCTTATTAAATCGGTAATATTTGGAAACGATATCTCAAAGACTATAGAAGTAAGAAAGATTCGCAGAGAGATGTATTCACTGAAGCAGGTGATTCAATGACTCAGTAAATATGACAAAAACAAATCAGTGATTTTTACACAAAAAAAAGCAAATTATTATAATTATTCAAATGCTTTAAGGTCTGTACTAAATTAAGTATTGTAAATTGTTAACAATAGCAATTTCCACATATAGCATTAGAGAAATATATCACAGCGCTGGAGCTCCAAAAACAGCGATCCATTACAACTATATAACATCAGGACACACTTTACATGCCAGTAGCACTGACATCCCACACTGACAGTGTGAGTGTTACCATAAATTAAAACACCTAAATTAGTATTTCCTGTCAGCAGTTTAAGGACATCAATTATGAAGCATTCCTGAAGCAGACGTAAATCATACGTCTTGGCCAAAGAGGAAAGCCGCACTGCAAACGGAAACCAGTCACTGACAGAAACAGCATTCAGGAAGGAAGGCTGTGTTTACATCTCACGTCAGCAGCAGGGATTGTGAGAAAATCTCTCTGACTTTTTTGAATTGTCTGGATTTGTGCAGGAATTGATTTTCTCAGTACATATTACAAGTAACCTATAATAGCTTATAGCAAAAAAAATTACATAGAATTTATAAGTAGATTATAACTTGATTATAACTTTGATTATAATTGACTATAACCTCAAATCAAACATTGTTTTGGAGTTGCTGGTCAGTTCTTTGAAGCAGTTAGTAGGTATTTGAGAACATTAATCTATGTAAAACTGTTTCAGCGCATTTATATTTAACATCATGCCACAGCACTTTAATGAGATTGAGGTCACCTCTCTAACGTTCTTCTGTTTGAGCCACTCAGTTGTTGATTTAATGGGTTTTTGATCATCTTCATGCTAGACTATGGGTTTTGAAGACTTCAGATGAAATAACAATAATGTGCATAGTGCTGTAATGTTTGTCAAGCTTTCTCTTTTATCTGGATGATTAGCGAAATATTTATTAAATAATCAGCAGAACTGTAGCTCTCCCTTCCACATGGAGTGTAAATATAAACGAATGTCAGTATCTGTCTCTGGCAGTTTTGAGTCGAGTTAAGAGAAAGAATGAAAAAAAAAAAAAAAACCTAAACAAGTTTAATAAAAGATTGTTTTACCTGCAATGTGATTGCAGAAAGGGCTGAATCATGTAAAAGCCTCTTAATAGCAGCCTAGAGGTTTATTCACCTTCTAGCTATTAGTCTGCCTTAGAACTTTGAATCAAGTATTGAACGTGATTATAACTTTCATGAGAAATGACTAAAAAAACTGAGAATAAATAGATATATTGAAGCTGGACATTTTCTTAATATTGCAAGTAATTTTAAAATTACAGAGCATATAAACTAATCTCCAGGATGCATGATATTTGTGATAAACAAGTAACCAAATCCAACAAGATTTGGTGGCTATAATACAGTAAATAGAACCTAAAATATATTGTTTAAATGCTAAATTTTTCATGCAGAAATTTTGGTGTGTCATAATCTGATGCTTTTCATTTTTTGGTCTAAATATTTTGGTGTAAAATGTCGTACATACATTTATTCTCATGTAAATAATATATAATGTTATAATTCCAAGGATTTGATATCTAATGATAGCTGCTCCCATTAGGGCTCGCCACAATGGATCACCCGTCTCCATTACAGAAAGCCAGCTTATGATCCGCACATTTGATTTGGCACAGGTTTTGACACAACCCTCTCATTTTATCTGGGCTTGGGACTGGCACTGAGAGTGCACTAGCTTGAGCCACCCCAGTGGCTGGGTTTGGTGCCCAGCATGGGGCTCAAACCCACAATCCTGAGATTAAGAGTCTCATGCTCTACCAACTACCAAAAACAACCCTTTTCACTTCCAAATAATAACACATTCTTTTTTTTTTTTTTTTGCAAATAAAACAAAATGTTTTGCTCCAGTGTACTCTTAAAAGTAGATGTACATTATCATTTAACTCCCATGTGATGGCTAAATCTAGATTATGGCCCTGAATGTGGGTTTGCAATTGAAAACATTATTTTTGGCCTTGTGCTCTAACCCTAAGCCCTAAAGCTTTCTTTTTATATAAATACAGACTTTTGCAGAGGATGAATGCTTTAGAAGTCTTAGATTGAAATACGCCTGAAAGTGTATGGTGGCAATACCCGTACGAGAAAGCACGATATTGTGTGAGGGGCTGGAGATTTGTATTGTTGACCCAAGTTCAATTTGCTCGGCAGCGTATACTGCTGAAACTCATTTCAGACCACCACTGTGAAATACAAAACCCTTCAGCTGAACTCCCAAGTGTCACTATTACCTGCCACAATGACAAGGGTTCAAGAGCTCTACTGATTTTCCTGTTTATGCATTTGGTCTGCCTTACCCCCCATCCATTAATACACATTTCCTTTTACACAAGACATACAATTTTCTATAAAAGCTAACAGACATACAAAAAAAGAAACTCTGTTTTTATTCATATGTAAATACAGTAACATATGAATTATTACATATAAATATTATCGCTTTTTTATTTGTACCAGACATAACCATGCAGAACTGGGGTTTAATATATCAGAGCAGGTGATATAAAATATCATCCTCCCTGATGTATGATAAATCTCAACGACTGACACTAAAAAGCCTATTAATCACAATGTAGCTAATTAAGCATAGGCATAATGAGAACCCCCTGTGGCTGACAACACTCTAACTGAAATGCTAGCTCACGGATTGCTTCTTCAACAGTGCTGACAATCGGCCACCTCATACTGTTATTCTAAGACACACACAGAGGCCCAGCTTGAAAGAAAACACTCACATAAAGAAAAGGAAAATTAGAGGTTTAAGTGTTCCAGAGGACGCTAAATGAAGCATGTTATAGAGTTTGCTAAGTCTGGCATTGACATTTCACACCTGTACACACTTCAAGCAGACCCGTTAATCTACATCAGCAAATAATTCACAACCTGATGCAGGTCATCTGTGGCAAAACCTCTCTTCTAACACTAGGCGTCAATTTACGTAATAAAGCATGCCATTTGTAAAGACATATTTACAGGGGTGGGGTGGGGGGGTTGGGGGGGGGCAAATCAGTAGCTTAGGCGCCCAGACGGGCAGATTTCGTGTCCAGGGTTATGAGTATTTTTTATATGTAGATGCCCAGGGGCCAAGCAAGTTTAACAACCAGAAAAAGAAAAACAAAGAAACTACTTTTGCAAAAAAACAAGTTTTTATTTGGTATGTTTAAAAATGATACACTTCATGGTGGTGCGACGCACTTCAATGCTGTAACTATAGTGTGAGCTACTCATTACAAATCCCACCACCTGCCGCATTACTCACATCAGCCAAGGTGCAATGTGGCTGATGGTCGAAAAAATTTTTTCTAATGCACATGAATTAACATGTATGACAGACAATCAGACAAAGCTGTCATACAACTTGCCTATTCTAAATAATGTCAATCTGCTTTCAAACATATCGAGAAAAAAACCCAAGATGCTAACCAGACTCGAATATCTTTTACATGTGATGGAAAGACAAAACACCAAATCTCTTAACTGAAACGCTGGCCAATGACTTGCTGACTTTTTGTTGAGTGCACAAACACAACATGCTTCATTAGAAACTACATTAGAGGAGGATAATTATATGATACAAGTATGATATACTTGTTCATTTCCCTTAGTCTGTACTAATGCACCTAACTAGCAAACTAGCTTACTATATGTTTTTATCTTATGTCAGCTACCAATTTTTTGGGTAGTCAGTTAGGCTCCCAGGCAAGCAGCTTTTCCAAATATCAAGACATCCAAATATCAAGACCAAATGCATTTTTGGACAGATCCAAATATGTTTAACTGTTTAGCAAAGCCTCTAGTAATACAACACAACACAACAAGTTGCTGACTTTTTGTCGACGCCACAAACACGATGTGCTACCTTAAAAAATTTGTTAGAAGATAATGATCAGATAATTGTTTATTTCATTTGGTCTGTATTAATGCACTAAACTACTAAACTAGCAAACTAGCTCGCCATATGTTATTATATTATGTCTTCTATCACATTTCTTCCTAGTCAATTTGGTTTCCGGGCAACCAGCTGCTCTAAATATCAAGACACAAATGCATTCTTGGAAAGATTTTAATATTTAGCAAAGCCTACAGTAACGCAACACAATGCAACCCCAAAATTATGGAGCAAATGACCCAAGACTACCCACCAATAAAAGGCACTCTGCCGCCTTCACATACTCTAATGGATTATTAAAGCTCTGTCAAATATGGTTTATATCAGTGGGACAGAAAGGATCAGCTGTCTGCAGCGTATTGGCTTTCACAACAGTCTGTAGGGGTGTCAGGGCTTGCTATTGCGAGAGACAATTTTCCTCTCACGGTAGGTGAAATACAATTGTTGCGCTGAAGGGCATTGAATTATGTTGAGTAATTCACTTTTGTTTTTTTTTTAAAATAGTTCCTCACAGGCTCAAGCATGTCCTCTCCAGCATGCTGAAGCATATTCTCCAAGCTCCTCCCTGCCAAACTATCATCAGGCATTAACATTAAAGTAAAGCGCCCAAACTCACATTCAAAGCCCAGGATGGCAGAAAAGCACAAAAGGTACCGTTTAGTCAGTTGTTTAATTACTGCAGTGAGGTGGTTATTGTAATGAAAAAGCCAAGGCTTTGTTCACACACACAAAGTGCTTTTGACTAGAGCCTGGGCACAGAAGGAGCTGAGTGATGACTGTGGCTTGCCAATGAGTCCCCCTTATGTGCCATTAGTTAAAGAGCATTCAGGTAGTGAAGATGGTTCTCCAGGGTGCTATACACTGCTGCAATACACTGAACTCTCTTTCAGCTCCATGTACATTGGGACAGAACGCTTCAGTGCACCAATCTACATTAGAATTATAATGTGATGTTACCTGTAGAATGCACACAGTATATTCACTCATTCATCTTCAGAAACTGATTTATCACGATCAGGATAATGGTGGATCTGGAATCTGCCCAGGGATGTGAAAATACACCCTGTATGGGATGCCATCGCAGGGCACCATGCATACACACTCACACACTTACACCTAGGTGCAAGTTAGAGTAGACAGTCCACCTACAGAGAGGACAGGTAAAAACTACACAAAGACATTAACCCAGGCTCATGACTGAACCAGGGACCCTGGAGTTGTAAGGCGACAATGCTCCCTGCTGTACCACACCAGCAAAACACAAATCTTATCTGTTTACTTTCTATAAATATTATGTATATAGCACATTTAAGAATAGAGATTGTCACACAGCAGCTGTACAGAAATCCGGATATAAACAATTACACACTATAAAAAGCACAACATTTTAATTTTCTGGAATTCAAGGCCAAAATATATCGCACAGGTGAAAATCTGAAAGTATTAACTACATGTTTGTAGAGTGAATGGAGTGTACCTTTAAAACTCATTTAATTGTACTTAATTAGACCCAAAATATACCATACAAAGGTATATTTTCCCAGGTTAAAGATGCATACCATACCATAGTACTAACAGCACCACCCCAGTGACAAGAAATGGTATAGTTCAGCACTTTTTTGAGTGTGATCAGCATTCACTAAGATGTAACAGCACTAGAAGTGTTTGTCAAAGCAGTTTAATATTTTAGTTTAGCAGAAAAGTGCTCGCCCTATTGTCAGGACATCACAGGGTTGAATTCCGAAGATGCCAAGAGAGCAAGATGGGAGGGATGGCATACTCTCTCTCCTTTGTCAGTCAGAGCGACACTAGCCAACCGTGGGTATCTGTGAGCTTATGTAGCAGAAGAGTGCGAATAGCATTTTCCTTTGAATGTGTTGGAGTTGGCTGGTGGGTGGGAATTGGCCAAGAACAAATTAGGGAGAAAATGGGGAAAAAAATAAAATAAAAATAAATTTAGCCATAAATGGGATTATTCATTATTTATGTTAAAAAAAAATTGGCCATTTTTATTATTAATCTCTACACAATACCGAGCACTCTGCTCTAAAATCATTGTTTTCTATTCTTTGCATTTTGCATTTTTACAAGCCCCTGTATAAGTTGTTACTACAGAAACAATAAAATATTATCACTTTTCTGATCAGAATCAAATCAGAATTGAGAACTCAACAGTGCTATGGTATAGATTATTTTAAAGGTGATGATTAATTGCACAAAATGATGCATTAAACTGTTTAACTATACCAGTGCAAGCAGTTTTCCCTGACGTCAAAGCAACTACACTACATTTCCAATGCTAAGGTCTGCTAGGTCTGGCTTGAGTTGCGTAAATTATTCTGCTGCCTGTGACACCCTCCTTTGCACCCTAGCACACATCTCCTATATAAACTGTCACACAGATTTTACCTGCACTGTTGGAGAAGAAACAGAGAAGGACATGGCCATGGGACCTTTGACCCTATGAGTGTGTATCTTAGTTTTCATTGTTCAAACTCCCCTCTATAATGATCTCATTCCCACTCCATAAACCAGCACCCTTCACAGTGTACCCTTGCATTCCATGATATGATGGAAACCTGTTATGAACTATAAAAGTCTCACTTCTCTCTAATCAGTACAAGCATGTGTTCTGAATTACACATTCGTACAGCCTTATGGGTGTCAAATAGACCAGGTGGCTCATTGAATATCTTCCAAGTCTGTGTTAACCAACTTTATACGTCTTACTGCTTCAGTCTGCATCAAGGCGTGGTTAAGTGTATCAAAACCTTGCACTTTATATTACATTAGAATTGACAAACTAACAAAGTTTCTATGTAATATTACAAAGCCTACACAACTTCAGTTTCCTGTCCTGGGTTCATCCCTGTTCTAGTTAAGTGCA